TTTAGCACATCTGCAAGTTTCCATTTGTGCAGGCTGGCTGCAGTTTGGTAACAGAAACTCACATTAGATATCTGAATCCAAGAAAAAATGCCTCCTGCTGACCAGTGAGTAGCTAAAGCAGTCCATGACTACGAGGAACATAAACTATGCTTTATCGAAGTCACATCTCAGGCTACAAGGAGAACTCAAGGAGGTTCAAGCAATTAAAACTACCATTAAGTTTCTCCATACTAAGATTAAACATAAGCTAAAATCACATTCTTCCTACTGCTTTAGGCTGTTTGACCCTTCTGATTTCAAGTGATTTCAGCATGGATGGACGTAAAGTTGTCATTTCACATTGTCAAGAAAGAGATCACATTGCGATTCCAAGCTGCCAGAGATGTGTTTCACTGTGCTTAAAACCAGCAATACCCCAACTCCTCAGCTAAGGAGTACCAGAGTAAGGTCTGCTTTGGGGTCTGGAAAGGTGGCAAATCCGTTTGTAATGAGGTGTGGTAGAGGAGAAAGGATTATGAATAGGGAAAATTCACGGGGTGGATTTCCTTCTATTCATCACACTCATGGAAATAGGCAACTGGAAGGAAGGCTGTAGGAAGAGGAACCGGGGATGTAAGCAGCCATTTTAACCATGAAAGGACATTGGTTGTTAGCTAGCTTATATGCATTATGCGGATTATTTTTACCTGGAACTACAGCTTCTCCCAATTTATAATTTACAGTGGCAATATGAAATCTGCCATCTTTAAAACAAGCATACTAACATAGATTGGAAGTTGCTACTTAGGCTATGCACATGTAAAACGCCTCCTAGACACCGCTGCTACATTCGTAGAATTTGATCTCCCATCAGTACAGCAAACATCAGTTGACTTGACGGGAGTGTGCTGTGATCCTGTGCCCCATTACTGTCACCACTCATTGTGATTTTCTCCAGCTATTCCCTCAGTAAATCAGGAACCTCGAGCTGTTTACAAGAGAAAGAAGAAAACAAGGTGTGTGCTTTCACTTAACAAAGGTGGCAACGCTCCCTGTTGTGTGTGCAAAAATATAGGAACTTCCCTGTTACATTGCTGCAGTACAACAGGTCTCTTGTTTGACTGTTGAATACATGTGAACTTTTAAATGGTGACTGCCGACCTGGCACTTTCTTTCGTCTGCGTGGCCTTCCTCCCCATGTCACTGTGCAGCATAGGAAGTAATCCTGGCTGCAAATACTCAGAACTGCATCGTTTTGCTGGTAAGCACAAAAATCCAAAACATCATGACTATACAAAACCGGAAAGATGTGATCTTACAATAATCTTAAACCACAAAAACTAACAGGAAATTCAACCTGGACTACCAAGAGCCTAAGGTATTAGCTTTTTTTTTCTAAATCTCCACCAAAAATTAAAGGGAAGGAAATAGTACAATTATGATTTTCTCATGCCGATTTGTGTGAATGCAGTTACGCTCATAATGACAGAAATCTGTCTGATGTACATCCTGCTTTAAACGGAACACCTTACAGGCTACACAGCAGCGAGTTTGTGAACAAGGTTTTTCTGATTACCCTTGTGTAAAATTACAGGCAACATCACTAACGTCTGTGTGAAGATATCAATGTAGGATCAGTTCCAAGGAGAAAAAAAACACAGCCAAGGATATACCTATTTTGCCATCCCACACAAGCCAGCCACATGCAAGAGACATTCACGGCAAAGAAAAGAAAAAAGAGAAAAAATCCCGAACCAGTAGCTTTGCTCCTTTTCAGGTCAGACAGAATTACCAGTCTCATTTAAAAGGCACCAACAGAGATCTGCCCTATCAAAACAAATGTTCAGAGCCTTCCCATCTTGTCTTTCCTTAGCAATTCATCTGCTTTCGGTATTAATGGCACTGTTAAAATGGAAATTTTTCCAGGAGAAAAATTGCTGTTGACAAATGGATCTGGAGGAAGAGGGCTACTGCTTGCTCCTGTGTTGTACTGCAAGCAGGAGATCTCTGTACAGATGCCTCTTAATTAGTCATCTGAAGACTTACAGCAATCACGTCATGCATATTGTTTGGCTGTAACTTCCACATTCCATTTAATGACAAGTGTTATTAACTAGACAGCTGAAGACAGAACAAGTTCTCTGCCTCTCAGTTTTTAAGCTGTAGTACAAGAGCATTTCTTTCATATCTGGCTGTAAATCAAGATCAATCTTAGACTCAACGCCTTTCCATCAGTATTACCTCATCTTACCTCAGTTTTAATACCAGCAGTATTGTTTTATATCTTTTTTTATCGTCCATTAATTTCAAAGTCCTATGGAACACTTTGCAGTAATTTTGTAGACTACATTAATTTCTCATGGCAATAGCTAGGCTGGAGAATTGCAGATCCTCTCCACTGAGCAAAAAGTGATAGTTTTGCTACTTGGCTCTACCGGGATTTGAAAGATACTTTTCCTTCTTCTTTTTCAGCCCCTAACGCTGGCACAGTTACGCAATGACCGCAAGTTAACAGGAGCTAAGTATAAGAAATAGCCTATATACATTCCTAAATTATGAGGTAGGTTTACCATTTACTAGATAACCAGATAAAACCCAGGCTGACACTTTTTCTGCTACATATTGCATTATTTTTTAAAATCCCGGGAGACTTACTCCTGCGGTTTTATCACACTACAGGTTCCATTTTGTCAAAAGGTATGGTTGGGGAATTAAGAGCCTGGAGGCAAAGCCTCCAATTAGGTCAAACCTGGGGCCAAAAAGCTCTCAAATTCTCAGAACAATAAGAAACAATGCGATTTCAGTCTGAAAAAAGGCATTTTTGTTTCAACAGCTGAAGTACTCACATTTACTCCCCCAAAGAATAACAGCTCCAACCTCACCTGTGCAGCTGCACCTGAATGCTAGCGCGGCGCAGCCGTGCGCCCGACTGCTCAGTGGCCTCCTGCTTACTTGCTGGATCGGAAAGCAATGCGTTACTGCGTCCAGAGCTCTTCTCTAGGCTAGGCAGGGGACAAAACGTTTCAAAGAGCAGTGTGGTTTCTCCTAAGTGCTATCAGACACTGGAGCACAGCCCTAAGAAGGCTGGAACAAACAGGCAAGGAAAGGAAATGTCCTGAACAGTTCCTGAACTACCCATTCGTCCAGGGCCTTTGTTAGCCTCCTGGATGTTCCTCTGCCTTTCAAAAAATGAAATAAGAAACAGGGTATTGATTAATACAGAACCATAAAATCAAGCCTCACTTACAGTAACAACATGATGAATCTAGTGAGTCTCTCTCTGAACCTGGGTGTAGAGAGAAGTCTTTATACAGCCAGAAGCAGAAATGTTTTGTAAAGCAGAGGAGCCTGGTAGTGAATATTTCACTGTTTCTGACTACTTCATTTTATCCTACCACTTTCACCTTTACCTACGCAGCAACTCCACTATTCTCGGCATGCGTTAACTGGAATAGGGACACGGTCCATTGGCAACGTGTTATTTGTAGGCTTCCTTCCTCCTGGACCAGCGAGATGACCGGACCAGCATGCAGCTCTGGTTTTTAACCAGAGAAACTCTCAACTTGCTAATAGATACCAGTTCCCCTCCGTCCTAGAATCAATGTTAATCACACATTCATCACTGCAAATTGACAACATAAATGCTGACTTGTGCAAACAATGTTAGAGAAAATGGTGTTCTTGCTGCAGAAGTAAATTATACAGCCTTTCAAGCTTTCTACACTTCTCAGTTTTATGTAAACTCCAATTTCTAAGCCTTTGTTCTGCCTTTAAAGGTCACACAGTTGAAAGCTATGAAGCATAGCATGTGTTCCCACTGATATTAAAATACTGTTTACTAAATCATGCATATAAATGTAAAGAAGAAACTGTTTGCAACCTACTGCGTTAATAAGAGATGATTTATCAGACAACACGGTTCCAAGTATCAACATGTGGAATGTAAACATCTGATCTTAATCATGCAATGTAATTTTTTTTTGTTGTTTTTTGAAGTAAAGTCTCCACATTGCCATGCAATCACACTAACTTCTGATGACACCGCATTTGACTGATTAAACTCTTAATCTTGCCAATGCGTAACTTCAGGAATACAAGCGGTCTTTTTAGATTTGAGCATATGATTGCACATTTGCAAGATCAGGATTTCATTTGCATATGCAAATTGCAAAACTGCATCTTCCCTTTGTCTGTGTAAGGCCAACTATAGCGCTCCAAATGCTAAACAACCACCGTAGAGCTGGACAGTATTTTTAGCATCTCTATGGTGCACTTCTATCTTTAGCTGCTGTGTTCACAAACAATCCCACAGGACACTGCATAGCTAACATAGCTCGGGCTCTTCACCACATTCAATTTTTCTCCCAAAACACAGTGAAAGCAGACTACACAACAGGCCAGTTCAGGACCTGCCAAAGTTCCTTAGATGCAGTGTCTTGAGCAGAGCAGAGCTATATCAAAGTACTAAAACATTAAAACATTAGAGCATTCTGCTCTGGAGTGGGGATGGAGGTTGCCGTGAGTTCCTCCAGGGAAAATACAGCTCTACATTCCGAGTTTGCACTGTGTAGATAAATCAAGGAGGACAGTGAAGGATTTCTGCATGTTGTTTCCTAGCAGGGTGTGCCCATGGGTTCATGGCAAATTTCTGGTCAAAGCTTAACCCTGCAAGAGAAGTTAATAATTGAACTTGCCAAATCATCACAATTTCTAAATCCAACTGCGTCTTGTTTTTACAAAGAGGCATATTAAACCAGTGAGCCATTTTATTAGACTCATGCTCATGTAACAAAAACATGTGTTAGCTCTTGAGTGCCAAGTATCATCCTGGAGGGTTACCAATCCCTGTTACAGATTTTGTAGCCAGACTGCAGTTATCTGTCATAACAGAGGAGGTAGTTTTGAATACACAGAATGAAGCACGCTGCTCGGTTCGGGAATACTTTACGTGGTCCTGGTCTCTTTGTAAAACTCTAGGAAGGAGATGTACTGCAGGGTGAAAAAAAGCGCTTGAAACTCACTGCTGACTGTAGTGGGACTATCTTGCGGAAGCCTCCTGGATGGCTGGGGCACGGCCCCAAGCTTGCTTCTTCGTTCCCTAGAGGAACTTCTGAAAATGGCTGCAGCACCACCAGTTCCAACATGCAACTACAGCAGCTGGGTCAAGTCTGAGTGCATAGGAAATGTTTCTAGAGTCATCTGTGTGAGGCGTTTCAAAACTACCGGTTTACCACAAAGAGAGAAAAAACTCATCATGGGAATGGCAGTATTAATCAGATGATTAACCTTTGAAGGTTCAAATCTGAAATGCTTTCCACACCAAGCTGGAGCTGCATATGGAGACGATAGCCTCTGATATCTTGATTTACAGAGGAAGTACTGATGGAATCCCATATATCCTGTTAATGCTGAAGGGAAGGGAATTATGTAAAGGAACTATTTTTTTTCATTAAGTGCCTTAGTTGAGGTTTGCAGATGAGCCTAGACACTTGGCTCCAATTTAATTTCAAGGGGACAAGATAACCTGAAAACCCTTAGAAAACCTTAGACCTTGTGAGTGCTTCACAAATGGGCTCCTCATTTCCCCGTTTACACTTATCTTCTCTCCCATTACTACATGCTATCAAACACTCTGTTATTAAAATTCTTTAAATGATAATGGGACTTTCCAAACAAACTGTGTTCATTAGCTTCCTCTACCCTACCACAGGTATGGCTGTATGTCTGCGAGGTGTGAGAACTGGGGAAACAGCACCAGCGCTTAGGAGGGTGTCCCTTGGCTCTCCGGCAGCACCGGAGAAAGGCTGAGATGCACAGGAGGCAGCAGCCAGGCAGCAGCACGTACTGTGCACTAGGTCTACACTACACATCTGCTGTTTTTCTTCTCTTTTTTTTGGTCAGAGTTATTTTTTTCCTTTTAAGCATAGCACGTGTTCAATCAAGACTCTCACAGTTATTCATTCAAAGTGTTCGCATTATGTAACATGAGCATCAGGTTAAGGCGAAAAGAAAAAAAAAAAACCACAAGCACTTTGTTTTTTCTGAGCCCTTTCTTACAGAACTTAATTTTTAAATGAGTAGAGGCTTCCCCTCCACCCAGGATACAAGGTGGACATCCTGGGGTATGGTCCTCATCCTACCACAGGCTCCTCAACTGAAAACCGTGGGTTGCAAGACTTGGCCTTTACTAAGAAACAACGGTATTACAGGAAAACTCGCTGCATACTTTCGAACATCAACAGTAAATTACCCTTCCATTTTCTAATACGGACACGATGTCTGGAGTTGAGCAAACACATTCTTGAAAGGTCAGAACACTTAAACTCTATGTACCTAGTTTAGGATGAAAAAACCTGTTGTTGCCTTTTAGTTATGACATTACAGTTTACCCACAAGAATTGCACTACTTCCCCTAGAAGTTTTCAAGCCCAAGAACACACTTTTCTCCCGGTGTTGGAAAGTGAAGGTAAAACTCTTTCTGTATTAACTTATCACAGCCATCGCCGAATCCAGTGATTTGCCAAGAACACAGCCATTCCTGCCCGAAGAGCTGCAGCCGCCAGCAGACGCACGCGTGGGGAAGCCCCGTCCGCCTTCGAGGAGAAGGGGCTGGAGGAACCCGGCTTGCCCGGACAGCAGCCCATGGCGAGTCGCTGCCCAGGCGAGCCACACACGACCATTCGTGCCAAACTCTGCGAACCTGAAAGAACTATGAAATCTCCTAAAATGCAGAGCTGGAGGGTGGGTAGTTCTTCATTTTTTCTGAAAGAATGGGAGGAACTTCCTCTTTCAGTTACACTTACACGGTCTAGTGAGGATATAACTGCTGTAACGATCAGGAAACGACTGTCATGTCGGATGGCACTACGGAGTGTTACTGGGGAGCTGCAAGGACCTTGCAAACTGGGGACAAAAGTTGAGATTTGCTGGAAGTGCTCTGATCTGTCACTAAATGCAGCGTGGTGTCCACCTTCAAGTTTCAGGGAGTTAAGGTAATTGAAGGAGCACCAGTTTAACCTTAGCCCAAAGAGGTGAGGTTCACTTCATTTCAACAGAGCTGCTTGAGGTCACGTCATCACTTTAGACCGTATTCCTTCCCTGGGGTTCAGACATCCCGAAGCCAAGGCTGCGCTGAGCTAGCTCTGGGACTAATTAGCGCGGGTGAGCACTCTGGTCAAACGCGACCCACCACACTGGGCCACGCTGGGACCTCGGCAGGACATTGCATGCGCTGCGCCCAGGTAGCCTCAGCAATCTCAAGCTGAATTGCACTGAGAGAAACTCCCCTTAGCTTATTCAGTGCCGGTGAACAGGGACATCTTAGGCAATGTAAGATGACTGTCCTCTGTATTATGAAATGACAGCCCCCAGGCAGAAGGTGCTGAACTCCAGCTGAGAAGCACTGACTGACTGCAAATGCAATGGCGATTGAAACAGGTTAGCTACTAAAAAGTGGTTGAGGGTAACCATTTTATTTCACGTGGGCACAGAGGCCTTTGTAGAAGGTGCACAACTTCTTCAAATGGACTAACTTGAGCGCTTCCAAGTGCTGCAACCCCTCACCTCCATCCTTAGCGCTACGCAAAGCTCCTGCCAGCTTAGCTTTGGTCCTTGACAATATTCCCAGCATACATTGTGAGCATCAATATGCATTTCACAAGTCTCCCGTTCCCAAGTTCCTAATGGAGAGCCAACTTCTCTTCTGAACCAAATTTTCAGTAGAGTCCCTCCCAGTGCCCACCAGTGCCATTGGTAGCACACTGTGGCACGGCGCATACCCAGCCCAGTACACCTCATCCCACCGCTGTGGTTGCTTTGGAGGAAGAGCTCCAGTTCTTCAAAACACCTATTTCCTATTGAAGTTGCTTGCGGGGACTGCAAAGAGACTGTACCTGGTTTCCTGTGCTTCAGTCACTACATTTGCCAGACATGATATAGGAAATGGGCAGGAAACGTCAACCTTACATATCACAGCAATGCTTTCCCTTCCCTTCATGCCATGTCTGAGCAGCACACCAAACCCTGACCTTGCACTTTTAGTGCAGCCTTTCTTACACAAACATTTGAGTCAGATCTAGAGCCAAAACCAAATAAAAAGCCAAACACGTTGCCTAATTTTTTTTTTAAATGAAAAAGGCTGACACCCTGTTTCATACCTATTTGTACTCAAATCTAAACCAAACTGCACCTTTTTAACTGCATGAATTTTGTAAGATCAACAAAAATTAAAAAACTCATCCCATTTTTTACTCCTTCTGGTACCAGTGTAAAGACGGTTAAAGAACTGATATTCCTGGAGCTCTGTACAGACGTGAGAGGTGCTGATGCACAAAAAAAGTGTACTATGATTAAGCACGTGAGTTAGGAGGTTTCAGCTGTTGTATTTCTCCCTCTCCCTTTTACAGGCATCTTAATTTTGCTTCCATTAAAAAAATCCAAGCCAAAAAACCAATGAAGACCCAGTCCTTCACCTTGCTTCTTTCCGCAATCATTTGGACAATGGATGTAAAATGGTACTTTTCTAACCTGGCAGCATTTTATATTCACTTTATCCAGGTGTAAATGACAGCATAAGGAATAAGGAAGTGGAATCAGATACAGCATGTATTTCTCTAAGAAAACTACCCCTCTTTTCCTCTTAAACACCTTAAATTAAAATACAGTCTTCCTCTTTTGTT